CGTGACACAACCTACCATGATTGGTAGATCGAACAGTCTGCTCTCATTGGATACTGCATGTCATGTACATTTCTGAAATGGAGCATCTAACAAATATTACTCTTACTTCAGTATGAACCTGTGTCCAAGGAGGAAGGTGGCTCAGGTTCTGATGACACTCCAAATCAGGATTCCTCTTAGTGATAAATATCCAATTTATTCAAATATCCAATCCACAATTTGTATGGCGTGACTACATTCTAGGTAGTTTCACACGTGAAAACTGTGAAACTAAGCGAGGCTTAGAATATTTTCAGCCAAAAAGTACAAAAGGTGTGGTGTAGTGGATGTTGCGCCAGACGGATTTGTTACATGGGCGGATGTGGGTTCGAGACCTGAGCCTGTCTCGACACACAGAGCATTTTCACAATATAAACTAAAAATATATGTTCTTCTATCTTAAAGCTATGTTACAAACTACATTAAATGTCATTTTACTAAATGATAATTTAAGTCCTCTTTAAGTGCAATTTCTCTGCCATTGTTGCAGCTCTTTGACTAATTCACTGAGTCAAATGCTGCTGTTTCTTTATTTGAGACATAAACATGGGGTAAGTCATTTTACAGTGATCTGACTTCACTTTTAAAACTCAAGGAATAGCTATATCTGATATATAGTACAAATGTTTGAGGCAAGTACGAGAAAATACTGTAAATAAAGAATGCTTTCAAATATGGAAGCAGCATTTCTTCTAGACACACTTGCAAAAGTTTTTTGCAGAAACTCGACTGGTAGGTTGTTCCTAACATCTTGGAGAACTAACAACAGATCTTTTTATGGATGTAGCTTTCTCACATCCTTCTGTCTTTTCAAATAATCTCAGATGCTCGAGGATGTTGAGATCAGGACTCTGTGGTCACCATGCCATCGGTTCCTGTAGTTACATTCAAAATAGTTCTTAATGACTTTTGCTGTATGTTTGGGGTTGCTGTCCTTCTGCTGAATAAATTAGAGGATAAGTTTCCATCATTTCTCAGCATTGAGAACACTAATCCTAACCGACTCCCCAACTCATTTAGCAGAAACGCAGTCCAAAATATGCGAAAAACCCCCAGTATTAACTGCAATCTGCTACAGGCAAATAATTTTACTTTTAACTCATAAGTCCAGTGTACTTGCTGCCATTTTCTGCACCACAGTTCCTATGTTTTTTTTTCCTGCAACTTATTCCTATGCTTGATTTACTTAGCCTTGTTCCTTGTTGGAGGTATGGATTTTGCCTGCAACTCTTCCATGAAGACCCCTTCTGACCAGACTTCTCCGGACAGTCGATGGGTGTATCTGTGCACTACTGGTTTCTGCCAGGTCTGAGCCTGCATGACATTGGTGATCATTAGCCCTCGTTTGGTATAATTGGTAGATCACACACCTACCGGTAATTGGAATCCTACAAAACCCTTGACTGTAAAATGTGCATTGGAGAATTATTGCAAATGTACAAAATAAACAATCATTATTTACATTTCTAAAAGATTTTTTTTATTTATTGTGTATTAAACACCTGCATTACTCTTGAGCAAAGTACTGTAATATGATTTTTTGATGGTTTGGATGCTTTATAAAACAATTAGGTGTTCTCTGTCTTTTTTTTAAGACACAAAAATGCAATGCATTATTTGAGGATTAAAAAGATTGGAGAAGTGTGAAGATATCATCTTTCAGAGTTTTCCCTCTTTTACATAATCTAAGAGCTGTTGTAAAACTTTCAGTTGAGGCTACAGAGAAAAGAAAACCACTTCAGATAAGCAAAAGTTATAAAATTGCTACTGTAAAAAAATATTTTTTGCATCGTCTGGGAATTACTTTTGTAAATTACAAAGGGAATTTTAAAACCACCATAAATAATATTAGAATATTAGAATATTAGAATTTAGATTACTATATATAATATTATAATATAGAATCCTATATTTGCTTTGTGTAATGGGTATTTTAAGGAACTTTGAGTCACAATTGGGGGAAAAATAATAATGCTGTTCTATTAAGTGTTTTGTGTTATTGTTCTCTCTGACTACAGCCTGAATAAAAGCATTTAATCTTAGCACCTGAATAAAACATGGAGAACAATCATTCAAAAATGCATTCAAACTCACACAATGTTCATGATTGTGAAAACACTATATGTTGAGTCAGACTCAACACTTGTCACACTCTTGGGGGATAAAGGAAACATTTGTTTCAGGTTGTATCTGAATATTAAATAACAATGAATTGACTTACTGCTGTTTCTTTTAAAGGTTTGAGTTTTTAAAGGTAATTTATGTGGTGGGACAGCATTGATTGTGTAATGAAAGTGCTGTTTTATACCTTGCAATGAAAACAATGGCTGAACTTGTCTCCAATAACTCACGCATGTCTTCCTTTAGCTGCTTCAATCATTACTTTTCAATTAACTTCACACTGAGAGATCAACTCCCGAAGCAAGGCCATCAATCTCTTCAATTAAATATTAAAACGTATATACAAAAGTACAAAACTTGAACTTTACTTACCAAACATATTTTTTAAATAAGTCATTTTAGTTTGACACACCTATGCATCGTTCATAGCACCATTTGAACCATTTGTTAAAGTTTTTCAAAGCCAAAAACAGAAGTCAGTCAGTATTTTATTTATGTATTCATATATTTCTTTTACATGAAAAAAAAATTATGTAAGAGTTTTTTTATTGTGTTTGTGTTTCGGGATGCTGCTGGTATTAAATCAATAAAGTATCCATCAATCTGTTAAACTGAACAACTTGACAGAAACACTGATTTCAGGTCACTTTAAAAATAAATCCTAGACTACTGACAATTTCAATATTTTACTTCATGCTAGTCGTTATTATTATTTTAACCACGATACTCACTGTCTGGAAGTCTCATTTCGAATGGACCTCGACTGCTGAATCGTATGTTTTATAGCTTCCTAAAAATAGCTGGGCTTTCAGCTGCATGATGTTTTGAGCGACAGTTCCAAGAACCACTCGGAAGTCCCGAACGCCGTCTAGCTCCACCCAGTATGCAATTTAAACCCTCCCCTTCTGAATCGCAACCAAAGTTTTCATCCCATTTTCCCTTATATGGTTACGCACGAAGTTGACTGACAGATGACCACGCCCCCTCGCTTCGCGTGCATCCGCACAGACGCTACGCGGTCTCCACACGCTGACTGACACAGTAACCCGAGCTACTGCGCTGCCGCTACTCACCTTGTGAGGAACGAAAACAAACCTGGCTGCGTGGATGGATAATTTACTTTTTACACTGATTTTAGCATCCACGGTGAACTGAAAGCTCTCGGATTGCGTGCTTCATCTGAATGTTTCAGTCTCTCGCGCAGAAGCGACCGCGGATTCCACGCGCAGAGAATCAAAGTCTCTCAAACGCACCGCCGAGCTGCACAACCATGGATGTTCTGGCCAATTACAGTATTTTTCAAGAACTTCAACTTGTTCACGACACAGGCTACTTCTCCGCGATGCCTTCCCTGGAGGAAAACTGGCAGCAGGTGATTTGCTTCGTTTCTGTCTTTGACATTTATCCAACTTTTGCGCTTTTCGGTGCGCGCGAGCCTCAGCGCGCAACTTGGAAAGCCCTCGTAAACAATATTTATTGCATTCTGCATAGTTGCAGCGCCGCACGAGCGTTCAGAACAATTGCTGCATGCATTTTACAAATGCCACGTGTCTGAAACATTTGACGTTTTCTTGCCATTCCAAGAGAAGCGCAGATAAACGTGTTGGGAAATTACGATCTGAATAATACAAACAGAGGCTCTCTGAATAATAGATCTACATCTGTCCTATCAGTGTTTTCTTAGTCCCTCGGCATTGCACAGACTCTCGGCTCTACTGCATTATATATAAACGCACGCGCCTGATTGATTCATAATGTGTCTGGCAGCTAAACGTGCATGACAGAAGTATATAGAGCGCTCATCTGTGCAAGACTTATGGAGAGTCAACTCATTTTCATGTAAATGCCACTTTTTCCCAATCCACGAGAATGGAGCCATGCGGCGCGTGGACAAAGCACATTGACATCCACATGGCTGGTTTATGCGACCTCGTGCATTTATAACTATTTAAGATTTATGAAATGCATTTAGGGAATCGAATTGGTTTGCAGCCTGCACACATGTGAGTAATGGCTGTGGTGCGTCGCGAGCGCATGAATGGAGGCATGGTTTGCGCAGAGAGTTGAGCTCTCCGCAGTGCTGAAGGGCCAACGCGTGGCCCATCCATTGATGCCGGTGCATTGCTTCCACATCGTGCATTGATTTTTAGATTGCCCGGCCATTTTTATTAACCTATGGGTTTTGATTGCATTTTTTATCAATCTGATGAATGCATGCAGGCGCTTTAAAGGCACCATGGTTTATGGTTAGTTTATTTGACCATTCATTTTGAAAATGGATCACATCTTTTGATTATATGGTTATGGTTTTCTTTTTTATTGCATTTAAGAATGCTATATTTACTACATTGTATTTTACATTGTATTCAGAGTAAAAACTAATGACGATTCATAGTCTTGTTAAAATCTAATAGAGCAGTGACACTTCTTCTTCACCATATACAAAAAGATAGTCGTCCACACTTAAACAGGTTCACTCTGGAGACGTTGCTACCTGGCTCTTCTATCAAGAATGATTCACTCAATAATAGTTTTGGGGAATTTTTGGTGGAATTACATGATGAAAGAAAAGCTGGCATAGATTTTTCCCTCGAGGGATCTTAACAAGTAGAAAACTAGATATTCTACAACTGCATTAGTTTCACCTTTCCAATAGCACATGGTCAAACACAGCAAATGACAATTAGACACAAGATTGGTCAATTTTTCAGCCATGTGCAAACCTGGAGATTTAAAAATGTTTCTCACAATCAATTCCTTTATTTATTTATTTGTGTAAGTTGATATGTCACATTAAAAGAACACGGCGTGTATCATTTAAAGAAGCCTAATAAGCACTCTCCTGTCGCTCAGTCAGAAGAGCATTGTGCTAGCAACATAAAGGTTGTGGGTTCAAAGCCCATGCAGGGAAAGAAACAACTGACAAATTGTGTTCATTCCTTGACATTTAAATTGCGTAAATGTAAACCATGTTGTCTTTGACTGCTCAGCGAAGCACCAACAAACTACTTTCAATGACCATTTACTGCAAGGGGCAGATTTAATTGCGTTCTATTGTAAAAAAAAAAATGGTGATTTGGCCTCAGAACAACATAAAGGTCTATCTTTTATCTCGGTGTGTTGACTATTTAGTTTAGAAATATACAATTTATTGAACTCCATCAGAGTTAATAAATGCAGTATTTAACTGTTTTGGATTCTATTCTTCTATTTTCCATTCCGGTGGTTGCACTTAATGTATTTGCAGCATTAGACCACAAGTATTTTCAATAAATTAGTTTTTCTATAGTTTTTGCTATTTACATTTTCAGTTTTCTAACATTACAGTTGAGTCTGAAAAATAGCTGTAGCTACAGGCAACTGACATTTTTGGATTTGAGGATTTTGGCTCCAAATCCTTCTGGTCTTATTGGAAACAATGATCTTTGCTACACTTTATTAAAATGCTAACTCCAGGTCCAGGAATGTCTCACACTTGGACAACAGTGTACATGTGGCTTATGTTTTTTTCTCCCTTAAAGCAGGAAAAACTGGTAAATGGTTTAGTTTCGATGTCAGAAAATCATCCAGATCTGCAACAAGCAACATGTTATAGCTTTATCCCAGCTTTCAGTTTAGCCGATTTCATTATCTTAAAATAAATAAAGACGTCTCTATCACAGGTTTTTTCTCAAGACCTTGGGCTATTTTTTATTCTTTTATTTTAGCGATTGACTTTCGATAGCTTGTATGAATTAGAAATGTTCAAAGACCAACATTTAACCTCAATAGAGCTGTTCTGCCCTTGGTGCTTGATAGAGTTAAGTGATCCTAAAGGCCAGACTTCTTCCTCCAGAGCAGGGAATATTGCTCACTAACCGTGTAATCCCGAGTAAATGGAAAGAAATAGGCCAGAACAGTACAGACCATCCTCTTAGCTTTGGTAGACCTAGAAGACTTCTTTTTTTTCTAGGGCTTGCAGGTTCAGTTCTCATCCTGCTTGTGTAGAATTGGTTAAAGCGCCATGCCAATGATATACATGCATTGTCTTTGAAATGACTGTAAAACATTCCGACTGAGCAAAAAAGGACATATAGACATGCTGGACTCAACTACCTCAGAGGCCATTTGAGGTCATAAATATGATATTACAAGAAAAAAAAATACTCTTACATTTTTTATAAGCAGCTCAAGTTTCCAGATATGTCAGGTGGGGATGCACTGAAAAAGTGTTGAGGATGGATTGTGAAGTCGCAACATTCAATATGGAACAAAGGTTCCTTGCCTGAAGCCTCTCCATCAAGCATCACATGCCCTACAGCCATGATAGAGGATATCCAAAAATGAAAATCTCACCTTGAAGAGACTGTCAATGTTGCTTTCCTCTCAAGGAGAGGGGTATCTGCAATATTGAGACAATACAATGGTGTCTCTTCCCACTGAAACTAAATGACCATTCCAAAACTCCTGGGATACAGTGAAACATCTGAGTCTTCTTGAGTGCTTTTGTCTCGTGACATCTATTTTGGGATTTAGGGGAACTTGAAATGCCTTTTGTTCATATTGCAACTGATATTTTTAGACTCTGTACTGATAACTTGATTCCTACTGCAATAACAGGTAGTGTAGACCCACAGTATTAAATACAGAAAGATAATAAACATTACTATAATATACTTGCCATGTCTGCTAAAGAGAGCTACCTTCCTTAGCAAGATACACAGTACTAGCATCCCTAAGGAATGCTATAAATCTACTTTGAGATTTGTGGAATTAATCTATATAAGAACTGTTCTACAAATCTTAAGCCCTTTCCTGCACAAATACACTTCCGTATTCAAAGAAATCCCATATAGGGCTCTGCCGCTTTCTTACAATTTCAGCCATTTTGCTGCAATTTATGGTGAAATTATGTGAGCACAAGCTAACTATAAATAACAAAAGATAAAAACAAAATTCTGCCACCTCATCCAAAAGCTATGTTTGGCTTTATTTTATATACTCTAAATACAGCCAGTTTTGACACACAATGCAGTTCCAATTAGTTTTTATCATTTTGATTTATTTTAAATATTTTTTTTTGTTTCATTATTTAGTTTGTTTCACTATAATAATCTTGATTATGCACTGTGACTGTACTGTGTTTTTTCTGAGAGTGCACAATAACTCTCTGGGGTTGCACAAATGCAGCTTTGCTCAGATGACACTCAGTTTTTTTTAATGAACAGTTCAAAAGCCATTAAGTAAAATGTATTATATATAAAAGAAATATAAAGCCAGTTTGCTGGTGTTGTCAAGGATTTGGCTGAATAGTGTGGGGGAAATGTTGTCATGGTTCCACTGAAAGGTGTGCAGTGAGAATATTTCCTAAGGAGATCCAGTCTTTGGGCAACTGCAGATTGCTGGCCTTGCCTGCCATTGCTGTTATGGTTTTCAATCAGCTGGATATCATCAGCTCAGTTGGGCTGGCTGAAACATTTGCCCTGTCTTTGTCATCTCAGGGGCAAATACTAATATTATTGTAAATTCACCGCAAAAATTTCTTAGAGGAAAAGCATACTGACTGGCTCCTGCCCTGTTACGCATCGCTGACACCAGCATTTCTGCATCGTCCCAGTGTTTTGCTGAGTAAGGTTTTCATAGCCGTTAATTAAACCATATCTTCAGTCTCAACGTCAAATTTGGGAAAGAATATTTTAAAACTCTTCTACAAGCAGCACAATATCCATTCATTCAAATAAGTAGCATTGGATATATAAGATTAAAAAGAAATGTTAACAGAGATCAAAAATAGTACTTTCCGCAGCATGAGGTTTCAGAACATTTAATGGTGCTAGTTAACAGCGCTTCCCGGCTGTTCTTACACCATTTGTCACTGCTAATAAGCGCAAGACGTCTGAGTGACAAGCACAAAGGGAAAATGACATCCAGAGCTTTCTGAAAGGTTTTTAATGAATTTAATGTATGTTCGTGCTAATACCGTAATCAGAGCAAGTCTCTTTGACCCCCTCTTTATATGAGAGGCTAAGATGTCCACGTCAGGATGTGGTTTAGAAAGTGTTCTTGTGCTTTTGGATCTTTTGCACACTTGCATCCACCGCAGACACAGTTTTATCTCGTGCAGCCTCAGGCCAGGGCAAATGCTGTAACTGATACTGTAATGACTCTCCAAAGAGCCTAATGCTCTGTGCAAAGGCAGCACATTGTGTGTTTCACAGTGTCAACTGCTTTCAAGAATGCTCATCTAAAGTCATTACATTGCTTTCTTGACTAAATGCCCTAAGGAAGAGTCTAAGAATAAACCAATTCAGTTTAAAGATATAGTATATCATCCTTTGATTATCATCAGCAGCAGAGAAATTAAGATATTTCAAATATTAGATTTAAATATAAGACTCAATTATTAGATATTTTCTCAGGAGGCATTGAGCTAAAGTGCAGAGAGTGCATCGTCCATTTACTCTGCAACACTGGCTGCTTAAACGACAGCCAGAAAACACTTTGTAAACCTAATTTTTTTCATTGAAATTTAGTTTTGTATACCTTTTAAAAAGCCAAGGCCGGTCCAGGCAGTAGTTTTAAGCTCTCACCTATCTGCCCCCTACTCCAGGCCCAAGAATCTTAGTGGATTCCCATTACCGTAGGCGATGACTGCTGAAATGTGTGTTATGTAATTCTCTCCATGCCACAGCTGCTTTCTTGCAGTATGTAGAGAGAGAGAGAAATAGAGAGAGGACTGAACCCAGCCACATCTCTGTGAAATCTTAAAGAGTTTTCCGGATCACATGACACTGTAGGCCACGTCTTCATGCTGGGAAACAACCCATATGGATCTTTTTTAGGCGTTTTATACCTGCATATTTGAAAACATTTCATACAGCATGTGGATTTCTCTGTGTACTCCCCGCCTCACTTTAAAGGAAGAATTTACCCTGAAAGAATAATATGAAGTTTACGCCTCAAGTTAATTTTTGCGTCCAAACCAGATTTGCCATTTTGAATGTGATGTAAATGTCTAAACATGGCCTATAAAGGTAAAGTGAAATGAGGATATGTTCTCTGACTTTGAAAGTTTGCCAGCAGACAAAGATATGATCGGCCTATAAAATTTAATGTGAGACAGTGTGATAAAAATCCAGATAAAAATGTGTTATGTGGACTTTATTGAATGAAATAAGTATTTGAATCAAATAAGCAAGATTTATTGCTCAAAGCTGCCACATTAACGTAACCAAGTGAGATCAGGAAGCTCGCACAGAGGGACTGTAATGACATATTACTATTATATTTTGTTACTATTACAGATGTATTAGATGTCATGTCCACAGAAGCAATCAGTTTTCATCATCTCCACCATGTGAAGGACACAGTGTCTCACTGACAAGATTGTAGACCAACACTAGGCAAAAATGGACTTCAAGACTATTGCCAAGTTGTCTAAGGAGAAGAGAAACCAAACCACAAAATAAAGGACAAATAAATCTCCAAAAAGCTCAATTGGACCATAGTCACCAAGAAAACAATTGGTATTATGCTACATAGTGAAAGACTGAAATCTTGAACACTATGTTGCTGAGTTCCATTTCACACCATAGGACATTCCTCGTGAGCCAAAAGGTTCTGAAAAGTCATAAAAACTGGTCACACTGGTGGCCATCTTCGGTTTCTCAAAGAACATCCGAATGATTTAAAGGGAAATTGAGAGAAAGTGTTGTGTATGGAAGAGTCTAATTCAACTCGTCATGTTAGCAATGCAGCATAAACCCAAAAGCAATTTAAAAGGACATGTGTCTTAATGTCTAAAATGTGTTGTAAAACACACAGCTTGTGTATGATTTCTATATACCATTGAAACCCCATTGAAAATGAGTAATACTTGTTTTATCGTAACCTGAGAATCTAAAAAAAAATCGCCCTCCTCACAGGTTTCC